AAAGTTGCACCGGCGGGAGCAGCTGCCGCTAATCTGCCGCTGCAGCAGCTGCTGCTGGTGCAGGAGCGTGGCTGCCGCCGCAGCAGCTGCTGCAGCAGCAGCTGCTGCTGCAGCAGCAGCTGCTGCAGCAGCAGCTGCTGCTGCTGCTGCTGCTGCGCGGGCTGCGGGCCCACCTTCCCGGCCTTGAGTCCTGGCTGCCGTGTGGAGGTCAATGAACTCCGCCCTTTGGGCTTTCAGCCACGCGAGAAGTCTTAAAGTGGCGGAAGACTCGACGATGGCGTAGACGGGGAGCGTTCTGCGGTGTCTGTACACCTCAGGCACGCGCGCGAAGTCGAAATGGTGGAATGAAGTGGAAAAGGAGAAATAAAAGGAAATAATTCGACAAATTAAATTAATTTAATCAATTTTAATCCATTAAATCCTTTTTAAACTCCAGTTTCCACCCACCGCCCCGGCTGAAGAGGTATAGTCGCCTGCGCGTAGCCCGCCACCACTTGCCGCCCCAGCCTGCGCACAACGGGGTGTACGTACACCTGAATTTCTGGGGTGTACGTACACCCCAGTTGCCGGGGTGTCTGTACACCCCAAGAGCTGGGGTGTCTGTACACGTGAGGGGGCGTTTGGAGTTGCAAAGAGTGGAAAGGCTTTGGACTTGAAGCTGCGGAGCAAAGCTGGGGTGTACGTACACCCCACTCTTTGCTGCGCGTGGGGTGTACGTACACCCCAGCTTTCCTACCAGTCGCGGCCGTAAAAGCAAAACGCCATTCGAGGCCACCCGTAGGGACTTGTGCCCTGCAGCCGCCCCACACAACCCCTTTGCTTCTTTTGCCTTTGTTGCCAGTCCTGCCATTAGTGTTACTGCCATTACTATTATTAATACTTTTAGTTTTATTATTAGTGCTAGTTTTAGTACTATTAGTTTTATTATTACTGCTAGTATTAGTTCTATTAGTTTTATTATTACTTAGATTTTGCCAGTGCTGCCATTAGTGTTATTGCCATTACTATTATTAATTCTATTAGTTTTATTATTAGTGCTAGTTTTAGTACTATAGTTTTATTATTAGTGCTAGTTTTAGTACTATTAGTTTTATTATTGCTGCTAGTTTTAGTACTATTAGTTTTATTATTGCTGCTATTATTAGTACTATTAGTTTTATTATTGCTGCTATTATTAGTACTTTTAGTTTTATTATTACTGCTAGTTTTAGTACTGTCAGTGTTATTATTAGATGTTGCCAGTCCTGCCATTAGTGTTATTGCCATTACTATTATTAATACTAATAGTTTTATTATTACTTATATGTTGCCAGTCCTGCCATTAGTATTACTGCCACTGCTAGTATTAGTTCTATTAGTATTATTATTACTGCTAGTTTTAGTTCTATTAGTATTATTATTATTAGATGTTGCTAGTTTTGCCATTAGTATTACTGCCACTGCTAGTAATAGTTTTATTATTAATTAAATGTTGCTAGTTTTGCCATTAGTATTACTGCCACTGCTAGTATTAGTTCTAATAGTTTTATTATTACTGCTAGTAATGGTGCCATTAGTTTTATTATTACTGCTTACTGTTTTAGTTCTATTACTTTTATTATTACTGCTAGTTTTAGTTCTATTAGTTTTATTATTATTAGATGTTGCTAGTTTTGCCATTAGTGTTACTGCCATTACTAGTAATGGTATTATTAGTATTATTATTACTGCTAGTTTTAGTTCTATTAGTTTTATTATTAGATGTTGCTAGTTTTGCCATTAGTGTTACTGCCACTGCTAGTATTAGTTCTATTAGTATTATTATTATTATTAGATGTTGCTAGTTTTGCCATTAGTATTACTGCCATTACTTGGTATTATTAGTATTATTATTACTTGGATTTGTTTGTATTAGTTTTACCATTGCTTGTATTGTCGTTTTTATTATTGTTTATTATCGTTTTTTATTTATTGTTATTTACCATTATTAGTTCTATTATTATTATTATTCATTATTATTATTATTATTATTATTATTATTTATTATTATTATTATTATTATTTATTATTATTATTATTATTATTATTATTATTATTTATTATTATTATTATTATTATTGTTATTATTATTATTATTATTATTAGCACTAGTATTGAAAGTCTGAATTGAATTTCTTTTAAAATTCATTTTAATTATTTTGCTGCTGAAGTTCAGAGGCGGTCTGTGGGGCGCCGCTTCGGGTGTATGTACACTGCAGTGGGTGGGCCCTGGGGCGAGCATTTGCTGCCGCTGCTGCTGCTGCTGCTGCATGCAGAGCTGCAGCAGCAGCAGCAGCTGCTGCTGCTGCTGCTGCATGCAGAGCTGCAGCAGCAGCTGCTGCTGCTGCTCTTGCTGCTGCTGCTTCATTTTGCTGCTGCTCACCTTAAAAGCAGCATGGAAGGGAAAGTTCAGCACCACTTTGCTGCTGCTGTAGCTGCTGCGGCTCTCTTGGGAAAGGCCGCTCCCGAGGCCCTGAGCCACGCACAAAACCCCTGGCTAGCTGCAGCTAGCTGAGTGGCTAGCTGCAGCTAGCTGGGTGGCTAGCTGTAGCTGCAGCTAGCTGAGTGGCTAGCTGCAGCTAGCTGAGTGGCGAGCTGCAGCTAGCTGAGTGGCTAGCTGCAGCTAGCTGAGTGGCTAGCTGCAGCTAGCTGAGTGGCTAGCTGCAGCTAGCTGGGTGGCTAGCTGCAGCTAGCTGAGTGGCTAGCTGCAGCTAGCTGAGTGGCTAGCTGCAGCTAGCTGAGTGGCTAGCTGTTACAAGCCTATCGCTAGCTGCTGCTGGCTGAGTGGCTAGCTGCTGCTAGCTGAATAGCTAGCTGCTGCTGGCTGAGTGGCTAGCTGCTGCTAGGTGAATAGCTAGCTGCTGCTAGGTGAATGGCTAGCAGCAGCTAGCTGAGTGGCTAGCTGCTGCTAGCTGAATAGCTAGCTGCTGCTAGGCGGAGGGCTAGCAGCAGCTAGCTGGGTGGCTAGCTGCTGCTAGCTGAATAGCTAGCTGCTGCTAGGTGGATGGCTAGCTGCTAGCTGCTCATTCTGCCTGCAGCGGTGCAGCAGCAGCTGCTGCTGCTGCTGCATGCTTTTGATATTTCTTCTGCAGCTATTTTTTCTGCCATTAACATTATTAAATTATTACTATTATTATTAATTTATAATTGTTTTAACAATTGTTGCCATTATCATTATTAAATCATTGCTATTATTATCAATTAATTAATTTATAGTTATTTCAACTATCATTATCAGCGCCATTTCCACTATTCCTGCTATTGCTGCTGTTGCTGCTGTTGCTGCTGCTGCTGCTGCTGCTGCTGCCCGTAGTAATGCTGCTGCTGCGGCGGTTCTTGCTGCCGTTCTTGAAGCCGCGTTTCCGAGCCCCAGTACAACAGGCAGCAGCAGCAGCAGCAGCAGCAGCAGCAGCAGCAGCAGCAGCAGCAGCAGCAGCAGCAGCAGCAGCAAGCAGCAGCAGCAGCAGCAGCAGCAGCAGCAGCAGCAGCAGCAGCAGCAGCAGCAGCAGCAGCAGCAGCAGCAGTTTGAATTAATTAATGCCACTTAATGCCACTTCTGCCCACCCAAGTTTGCTGCCAGTCGCTGCCCGCCACCATCGCGTAGCGGCAAACCACTCCGCCTCTGTTGCCCCACAGCTCCACGGCCTCCACGCAGCCGCTGGCCACCAGCAGCAAGTGGCTATCTGCCAGCAGCAGCAGCAGCAGCAGCAGCAGCAGCAGCAGCAGCAGCGGCAGCAGCAGCAGCAGCAGCGGCGGTGGCGGCAGCAGCGGGAACGGGGCAGGCGAAAGGGGCGTCAAACGGTACCCACAAGGAGCTGGGGATGCGCGAAGGCAGCAGCAGCAGCAGCAGCAATAGCAGCAAGAGCAGCAGCAGCAGCAGCAGCAGCAGCAGCAATAGCAGCAAGAGCAGCAGCAGCAGCAGCAGCAGCAGGGGAACTTGTGGCAAGGACGCGAAGAGCAGCAGCAAGGAGCTGCGGAGCCGTAGGCTTACCAGGGATCAGAGCACAAGGCTCGAGCAGCGCCTGGAGTTCATCCTCTTGCTGCTGCTGCTGCTGCTGCGGCAGCAGCTGCTGCTGCTGCTGCTGCTGGTCGCGCTGATCCTGCTGCTGCAGCATCTCAACCAAACCCTAGACGAGCTGCAGGTACTCTGCGCATCCCTTCCGGCTGCCTCTGCCAACTAATGAGAGAATCTGCTGCTGCAGAAAAGAGGCAGCAGATAAAACTAAGTTAAGTTTCGCGCTGCAGCAGCAAAGAGAGGAGGCAGCAGCAGCAGCAGCAGCAGCAACAGCAGGAGTGTGTGTGCTGCTCTTCAGAGTGCCATTTGAAAGAGATTTTGCCGTCTCATTTCAATAAGAGATTTGCACTCTCTTTTAAAAAGAAATAAAATGATTTCTTTCTCTTTTTTTGCCTTAAAATGTTCCAATGCAAATAACAAGACTCGCCGCCGCGGCGTTGCCACTGGGTACCCCCAGTGGCGCCAAAAGGCAAAGGAGCTTCTTTTTGGATCTTTTTCAAAATAAATTAAATTGTTTCGACAAATATAATAATAAAAAGACGAAGTTTTTGCAGAACAATTCAAGTTTCGAGAGTGTGGGCGCGGGAAGAACGCATGCGGCAGCGGCTCCCTCCCGGCTTGTGAGTGACCATCGGCCCCCGCGTTCAGTGCGCCCTTTTCACCCAAATGCCTCTCATATTGAACAAATTAAACACAAAAGACTTTTTAAATAAATATAATTGAAAAAACTGTTCAAGGAAAGCCAAACGGCGCAGCAGGCCTCTTCCACAACCCCCGCTGGAGGCGTCACCCCTGGGCGGTGACCCTCGGGCGCGGCAGCGGCCACGGCCTCAAATTCAATTAATTTAATTTGTTTCTCGGTTAAAATAAATGCAAAAAAATATTAAAATAAATTAAAAACGAAATAAGAAAGATCTGCGCTAAGAAAGACGGATTTAAACTGAATTAAATTGAACGAGTGGCCCCCCTCCAGCTAGCTTTAACGGGCTAGGGAGAAGCCCATGAAGAAGAAAAAGCCCTCTCAAATTATCTTTACTTTCTTTTTTATTATAAATAAAATTATTTTAAAGTCTAATTTCCCACAAAGCACCTCCAAAAGGGTTTATTTCCTTGATGAATGCGGCTCACTCGTCACTTTGAAACAGTTGGAGTTTCAGCTTATTGAAATTACTTCAGTGTGTTTGCGGCTTTTCTTTCGCTTTATTTTGCTTCTATTGTGACTATTCGATAATTAATTTGTTTATTGCTTCCTGTTTTGTCCATTATCTTCGAGTTTGCTTCGCAGTTTCAGAAGTGTGCAAGTTTCCGAGTTGTTGAATTTGTTGCAATTCAACAAGTGCGCGCGGCGATCCTAGTGGAATCCGCGGGGAAAGCTGCGGAAAGCGAGTTTAAAAAAGAAGAAAAGAAGATTTTAAAGTACTTGGGACTTTTTTTTCTTCTTTTTTCCTCAAAAAATGCAAAAACCAACTCCGGACTCCGCCGCTCACAGCTTCCCCCCCTGAGTCGCCTGCCGAAGAGCATCTTTGACATCAGCTTTTATCCGCTGAGCCCTCGAGACATTCAAAAACATCAACTGGCCTCCTGAGCGCAGCAAATGGGACAAGCAGCAGCACTTCTTTTGCTGCAGCAACCTGCTGCTGCTGCTACTGCTGCTGCTGCTGCTGCTGCTGCTGCCGCTGCTGCTGCTGATGCTGTTGCTGCCGCTGCTGATGCTGCTGCTGCTGCTGCTGACGCTGCTGTTGCTGCTGCTGCTGCTCCGAAACAGCAGCAGCAGCAGCAGCAGCAGCAAAGCCTCGCTTTTTGAAAGAAAGAGCTGCGCAGTCGGCCCACCTGGCAGCAAATAGTGCAGAGTCACCAGCAGCGCGTCCGGCCTTTTCAGGAACTGCAGCAAATTTGAAAAGATGAGCCCCGCAACCCGAGCTCTAGCCCCCAGCAGCAGCAGCAGCAGCAGCAGCAGCAGCAGCAGCGAAACCATCTATAGCAAACAAAGTGAAGCAGCAGGCAGCAGCAGCCGCTGCAGACACCAGAGAGAAAGATCTTTATGCTTTTGAATTAAAAGAATTAAAAAAGAATTAAAAGAATTAAAAAAGTAAAAACCACACTTTCAGCTGATAAATAAGAGCGAACAGCGGTGCTGGCAAGCGAAATCAAGCCCTGCTGCTGCTGCCGCTGCTGCTGCTGCTGCTGCTGCTGCTGCTGCGGGGGGTATGTGAGCGTCGCTGGAACGCAGCAAGCAGCAACCGGTGCAGCAAAGCAGCAACTGGAGCAGCAAAGCAGCAACTGCAGCAGCAAAGCAGCAACTGGAGCAGCAAAGCAGCAACTGGAGCAGCAAAGCAGCAACTGGAGCAGCAAAGCAGCAACTGGAGCAGCAAATGGCACTTTTGGATGAAATAAAACTCACAAGATCCGACAAAGGAGCTGAGTCCGTCTTAACTCCGAAGATGTCCGCAAGAATGTGAATAAAGAGCGTCAGTGCGTTGGAAGCCAGCAAGCAGTTTTCGGCTAAGTCCAAAACCACGGCGTACAGCAGCCTGCAGCAGCCGACGGAAAACGCGGCAAAAGGGGCTATAATGATTAATAATAGTTAATAATAATTAATAATAATGAATAATAATAATAATATTTCAATAATAAACGCGAAACAGTTCAAAAGAGCCGCAAAAATGGCAATTTTTTGCTGCTTTCCGCTTTTCTGAACTGCTACTGAGCGGCGTCTTGTTGGCAAACGGCAAATGAAGGCAGAAGGAGGGAATGGCAATTTAGTTTTCATTTAATGAATTAAAACGATTTAAAATTTGCAAAAAGAAATAAATAAAAGTCTTTTTTAACTGAGTGGCCAACGAACTCGTCCACGCGCTTCCACAGCACGAACTTGGGAGTGCTGAACAGCGAGGAAATCGGCAGCAGCAAAACACCCTCTAGCATTCCGTTTTCGGGGCAAACGCCGCTTTCTGCCCATTGCCTGCATTTAAAAAGAATAAAATATTTAAAATTAATTTAATTAGTCGAAAAAAGCCCCAAAAATCCGGAAAAAACAGCAACTGCAGCAAGAATTCAGAAAACGTGAACTGCCAGCTGCGCCAGGCAGCAGAAGAGAAGGCAAAAGAGAGAAAAGAAGAACAAACAAACAAGAAAGGGCAAAGATGAAGTGGAAGGAAATGAAATAGAATAAAAAGACAGAATAAAGAGAAAGTTCCCAGAAAGCCGGCCAGGAAAGGTGTTCACCGTTTGCCGGGCTTGGAATCTGCACTTCTCTTGCAGGCGCCCGCTGGCGCATGCAGCTCTTCCTGTGCAGAAACTGAACTGCTGATTAAAGCGGCCAATAAAGAAGTTCCCGAAGCTGCAGAGTTTGCTGCTGCAGTCTTTTGCTGGCTGAGTTTCTCTTCGCCCGCCTGCTGCGCGCCGCGCAGGCACTGCAGCTGGAAGGAGTGGTCGTCCGCGACGCGGCGGATGATCGCCTGGGAAAACGCCGCAAACGGGGACTAAAAGGACCCAAATGCAGAATTAAAACATTTAATTTCATTAATTTCGAAGCAAATAAGTCCGAACTGCGCAGATCGCGCCCCCGGACTCAGCAGCAGCAACATGAACTGCAGCAGCCGCAGCAGCTTTCTTCCGGCGCTGCTGCCGCGATCTCGCGCTCAAAACGCCTCCTTTGATTCAAATTGTTTCTTTTTATTCAACTTTTGAATTCTTGCAAACGAAACTCACTTGTTGACGCACAATTCGCAGCGAGTCATTTCCCTCGGGGGTGTAGAAGATGGAAAAAACCGGCTGGGTTTGTCCCACGGCCGCCACGACCACTCCAAACACCATCAATCAAACCCTCGAAACTTCGCTTTTTCGAATTTAAAAGACTCCACTCGAAAACTAAAAGGGAAATTCCGCAAAGAACTACAGAGGCTCATCAGCAAGTGAAGAAACTCGAAAAATAAAAGGCGGAAGGTTCCAGGATCCCACTCTGCGGCGGAGCGCGACTGCAGCGCGCCTCATGAGGCTGTTTTTGATATTTTTTTAAAGTTAAATGGAACAAAAAGTTCCTTTTTTTCAATTTAAAACTTTTGAATACTTTTTTCGCTTCTTGAGAGGCAACGCAAATGAACTGCCGACACCGGGGCTGTGGGAAATGGGCATGCAAGAAAGTTGAACGGCGGCGGCGCATTTTGGGTCTCATTGCAGCTGCAGAAGGCCCAATTTTCCGCTTTTTCTCTCTAAATTATTTCAATTTTCAAATTAATGAGCTGTTAGAATTCATTCAATTTATTTTTATTCAGAAAACAGCACAAAATGCCTTCTAATCCGCAGCAGCAGCAGCAGCAGCAGCAGCTGCAGCCGACTGGCAGACCAGCAGCTGTCTGGGTGACCAGGCAGCTGCTGCTTCTGCTGCTGCCATTCACTGCAGCGGCTTCTTCTTCTCTTTCATTTATTTAATTCAAAATAATTAAAACTAAAATACATTTCGTTTCAATTCCATCAAACTTTGCCATTTCTTGTGCCCCGCAGCGGGGCCAAGCACCACAGCAGCAGCAGCAGCAGCAGCAGCAGCAGCAGCAGCAGATCCAAGCAAGAAGCCTTGTTGCACTTTAAAGAGAAAAGAAGAAGAAAGCATCTGTTTTTCCAAACTAATTAAACAATATAATCAAATTAAAATTGAATTTAAATTAAATTAAAATTCAAATAGAACTAAACTAAAAGGAGAAAAAGGCCTTTTTGTCTCATTTGAATTACCGAACAGCAAAATCCAAAAAGGCAACAACCAGCAGCAGACGCTGCAGCAGCAGACGCTGCAGCAGCAGACGCTGCAGCAGCAGACGCTGCAGCAGCAGACGCTGCAGCAGCAGACGCTGCAGCAGCAGCTCCCGCTGTCTTGTTGCTGCAGCTGCAATCCGAGATAATGAGAAGCAGGAATAAATCGAAAAAAGAAAATAAATATTTTATTTTCGAATTTAAAACAATTTATTTTATTATTTTTATTTGAAAATAAAAATAATAAACAAATTGTACTTAGTCCTTGTAATAAGAGCTCTGCAGTCTAGTAGCAATTTGGAACTCCTAGCTTTGCTTAATAGCCTTATATATATATATATATATATGTACATA